TCACCATCGAATCATATGATCATCATCAACATCATCAGGATTACCAGCATCATCATCATCATCATCATCATCATCATCATCATCATCATCGGGGCACCACCATCATAATCAGCAAAATCATCATCCACATCATCATCATCGGGATACCATCATCATCACCACCATCACCATCATCACCATCATCATGAACAGCATCGTCAACATCATCATCATCATCAGACTCATCATCATCGTCATCATCGGGACACCATCATCATCTTCACCATCACCATCACCATCACCATCATCATCGTCAACATCATCAACATCATCATCATCATCATCATCATCATCATCATCATCATCATCATCATCATCATCATCATCATCATCATCATCGGGACACCGACGGGACACGGGCGGGACACCGTCGGGACACCGCGCGCCACCGGCCCCCGAGCGGGACACCGGCGGGACACCACGGGGCACTGGTTGCCGGAAGGGAGACTTTTGTTCCGGCCGCGCCTCAGCTTCAGGAGACTTAATTCTCTCCCACCCGCGCAGCTTCGCCTCGCCCGCACGCACGGCACGCGCGAACACGAAACTGAAACCGATGTCCCGGTAGGGGGGCTTTCCGTTCCACTTCGATCTCACCCCCTCACCTCCGATACATATATATATATATATTGTGCACTCTGTGTGGCTTGAGCTGTGTGGCACAATTTACGTAGTGCAATCCAGACGGTACACTATGTTACGCAACCTATGTAAAGCATCATCTGTGATGCAGTCTAAGTGGTGCAAATTATGTTGTGCAATCTGACGGCGGCGACGATCGGCGGCGGCGACAACATAGCCGCTAGAACGACAGACAGGTCCAGTTACGGGCGGCGACGAGGCGGCGACGGCGGCGACATAGCCGCCAGACCTGCAGACAGGCCCAGTTACGGGCGGCGATGAGACGGCGACGGGGCGGCGACGGCGGCAACATAGCCGCCAGACCGACAGACAGACCCAGTTCAGCAGAAGAGCAATAAAAACCCCTAAGTGCAAGCACTGCTTGGAAAATCACTGTTTTGGGTCTCCTCAACGCCTCTTTGGCACGCGCTGGAGGTTCTCCTGGAGCATCTTGGGGATCCTTTTTTGAGCCGTGCTGAAGCCATCTTGAGCGCTCTTGGTGCCCTTTTGAGCAGTCTTCGGATCCTCTCGGAGGTCTATTGGATCGTCTTCAGGCCTCTTGGAGCCCTGAGAAGGGGGTATGGATAACGGGGTACGATGTTGGCGAGGTGCCGGTCCCGGGCGATGTGGAGACGGTATTCATCCATTCTATATATATATACACACACGGTACACAGATGTGTATGTACGTACTGCGTGCGTGCGGGTATGCATATGTCACTCGTACCTTGAGGCGAGTCCAGAGCTCCCAACAGGCGGGCCTAGAAGAGCGCTCGAGAGAGGTCTACCAGAGCTTGCATGGCTCTGCGAAGCGTGTAAAAACATCGGTCGAGAGTTTCCTCTGACGCGAGAGGGTCAGGCTCTGGTGAGGTGCGCGCAACGTTGTAAAGATGGAAAGCGCGCACCACTCGCTCGACTTCCGTGTGCGTGCGGGTGTGTATACACATATCTATCTGTATGTACAGAGAGAGTGAGAGAGAACGGGAGAGAGAGAGAGAGAGAAAGAGAAAGATAAATAGAGAGAGAGGGGGGAGGAATGAGAGAAAAAGAGGGAAAGAGAGAGAGAGAGAGAGGGAGAGAACGAGAGAGGGAGAGACAGGGAGAGAGAGAGAGAGAGAGAGAGACAAGGACATATACCAGTGCGTGTCAGACTTTCGCGTTGAGCTGACAGCAAACTGCCCGAGACTGGCGCCAACTCGTGCGTCCTGAATGTGCCTCCGCTGGCCTCCGAAAATAACCTCCTGGCCTCCAGTGGGCGCGCGGCGACGAGCAAACCCATCACACGTTGCGCCAGCGCGCATTTTCATGCAACCCAGATTGGCCCCAAGATTATTTATGACCGTGTGCTGGTGCGGGCTCAAACAGAAACATTCGGCCGCACTAAGCATTGCCCCCCTGCGCCAACGAAACAGATACGACTCCTTCCCAGCGACCAAACTCGGTTAAATCCACAGAACAGCTCAACTAGCAGCGGGATTCTTATGTCTAGCTCGTGTGTTGCAGCTTGATGGGGGAAAACCCAAAGGTCCGTGATAGCGCGCCCCATCCCCCGCGTGACCAACAGCACAACCCTTTCGTAGCCGCCGTCTGCACCGAAACGAATCTCCCCCCGCAGGTGCGAGAGCTGATGACCTACTTCCCCGCAACGTGCAACATCTCGCCCGCACGAGAGGGTTAAGAAACGGCCCCCACACACAGACAGTGCCCACCTCGAACATTATGAAATGCAGATCTTCGGCGTGGGTTCAGCGAGTTAAATCCACATCCTCACCTTGGAAGCCTCCCTGCAGAAGAGAAATGCCTTGTGGCCGCACCCCCCCGGCAAAAAGCGCCGGCAATGGAGAGTGCGCTCATTCGTGAAGAAGGCTCCTTCGTATCCCTTAGGCTTGTTCGCTGAGTGCTTGCAGTGGTGCAGAAATGCCCAGTCGTCGTACGGTGCGCATTTACCCACTACGTTATCAGAGGCTTTCCAATGTTTTCACGGTTTCGGTGGAGCTACTACCATTTGAAGGTCGAAATCGCCAATGCCAGCATTAAGTGGCCAATACTGCGTACACGCGTCGTTTGTGACGAACGACACCGTAAACCTGACACTGTACCTGCACTTTCAACACATTAGCAACTTATCCTGTACTGGCCGCTGAAGGCAGCGAATGAATATCGCGAGCGCTGATGAGACAACGCATGGCGAACAAAAACGACCCCAGAGAGAAAGTCGGAACTGTGAGGTCATGGACAAAACAGCATCACGACGTCGGAGGTATTGGAGCTGAGCCTGCTGCAACGTTGGGCTCGATAATCTCATCCTGCGGCACCGCGGCCGCTACTGGGATGTCTTCGTCACGCAGCTGGAAGACGCCCGCAAACGTCACGGACACGTTCAAGGAAGGGGGTAACCCTGTTCCGTCCTGGAACGTCCAAACCGTGCCACGTGGCAGGCAAATTCCGCTCGACAGCCATAGGGCACTCTGGCTTCCAAGTCCCTGTTGTAGGTGCAGCACCGGGACGAAGTATCGCACACATGGAATACTTTCTGGCGGCCCTCTCCCGTCGCTGGTGCTACGCCTATCTCATCACGCGGTGCGTGTTGCTCGCCTACACAATTCGTGACAATGCATGATTTCTTCGCAACCAATGCAAGCGGAACCGCGCTATACGGACGGGGCCCGAGTAGGGTGGCACCCACTTTCCACGACCATTCTCTGAACCCCTAGGGTCAATGACAAGAGTTGCATGAGGGAGGTAACCCTTACGAATGCGTTATGTATCACATGGCTTGCACGCCGCCCCACGGGTTCTCAGACAACCATCGTCACGCAGCGGATCAAGTACAAGTGGGTGCATACCACAACGCGGACGGCCATCTTCGTATGCAAGCGCATCGACTCGCCGTCTTTGGGCAACTGGTACAACGTCGGAAGAGTGTGGGGGCGGGTTTGTGACGAGGGGCTTGCATGTTCTGCACTGTGCGGGAGAAGTGGTCAGATTTCAATTTCGGACCTCACCTGGAATCTCGGTCCGAATCCTCCTCTGGTATGTGTGATGCGTCTCCACGCAAAGCGCGGGGAGGCCAGCCCGCCCCATGGCCCGCTGGCCGCACACATGTTGGGGCGCCCGGAACGGGCCCGGAGAAAACGGGTACGACGCCCAACAAGAAACGTTCAGGAACCGACAGCGGCCGCTGTTGGGCACTCTCGAATAGAGGACACCTGCGGCGACACCGACAGCGAGAGTCCGGTTCAAAATGGGCAGGAACTTCTGTTGGGCACGCGCTTAGTGGGCCCTGGAAACGACAGGGCCGTTTTTTTACCGGTTCCGTTTTGCCGTCTTTTGACCGGTTCCGACGCCGTGTTTTTACCGGTTCCGTCGCCGTTGTTTGACCAATTCCGGCTCCGGTCCCAATCCTGGAGCCGTTTTTTTGCCGTTTCCGGTCGCCGTTTTTTTGCCGTTTCCATTTTCAAGGGACTTTTTTGTTGGAAACTGTGAAAAAACGGCCCTGCCGTTTCCTGGGCCCACTAAGGGCACGCGCCCACCTCTTCGCATACGTGTCGGTTGTGCCGAGTCTGGCGTGCCGCTTCTGGCCTGGCAGCCAGACCGGGTCGCCTGCGAGACGGTGGTGGTAAAGGTGTGCGGCGGCAGGCCGACGGAGAGCAAGGCGGCAGGGCGAGAGAAGCCGCGTCGCAGCAGCGAAAGGCTGGACTGACGTCGGGCCCGTCCTCCCACAGGGGGGCTCTGGACGATTATCAAGCAATAGTCAAACAGAAGCCCAACATGGTCAAAAAATACAAAAAAAATCCTCCCCGGACTATTTTTTTACTATTTCTGAAGATTCCTCTTGTAGAAGGACAGGCCCGACTTCAGGCTGGACCACAACGGATGGGCCTCAGTCATGGGCTCGAGCCGAGGCTGCAACGCCTGGGATAGATATGAATAAAGCATGGCAAAACACACACACACACTCACACACACACACACATACACACTTTTGACGGTCCGCGCGGATCTCCTGGATCTGAGCTGGAGCCCCCTCCCTGGGCGCGCGGAGCGCGCCAGGGGTGGCGCCGGAACCGCCGCCAGGGGGTCCCAGCGCAAAGTTAAGAAATCAGCGCGGACCGCCAACAACCTAGGTTTCCGCATTTTTGGCTCTGCGATCGGAGGAGGATGAAAAAAGCGAAGGGGATGAGTCGGGCTGAGAGGGAAGAGAGACTGGCGCTGCTGGTCTCGCGGATGCAAACACCTCTTCTTCGGGCGTGTTGTGACCCGCTCAGTGTCAGTTGCTCGCGGGAAGAATGCAATCCCCCCGAGGCATCGGAGGAGTGGCACTGGTGGCGGCGCATCGAAGCCTGCTGCTGGCACATCAGCAATGCTATCTCGGACCACTCCTCCTGTGGGGGGAGAAGAGAGAGAGAGAGAGAGAGCGAGAGAGAGAGAGGCTATGTAGAGAGAGAGAGAGAAAGAGAGAGAGAGAGAGAGAGAAAGAGAGAGAGAGAGAGAGAGCGAGCGAGAGAGAGAGAGAGACAGACAGACAGACAGACATGTAGGCAGGCAGGCAGGCAGACAGACAGACATACATATAGACAGACTGACAGACACAGAGAGAGAGAGAGAGAGAAAGAGAGAAAGAGAGAGAATGCGCGAGAGACAGGGCGAGAGAAAGAGAGAGTGGGTGGCAAAATGACATAAACCAACAACATCCTGCACTCGACTGCGGACTGACATGGAGCTGAGATCTGTCCGTAAGGCGAACCCATGCCACAGTAGCTGTGCTGCAGACAGCTCGAAGGCGAATTGTGCGCCCGAAGGATTTTGGAAGGGCCCCCCACAATGGCTGATCAACGAAGTGGCGCATGACTCGTCAACGAGAATATCATTCCACCGACGCGATCAAGAGCTCGAAAGCGAAACGAATCGTGGGCGTTCGCGTGATGGGGCAAGCTAGCAAATTGCCATCAGGGCAGACGGAAGACCCAACCCTCGAAACACACACTTGACCCGCGACCAGAACACAGAACTGGATACAACACCCAGGCCGCCTCGGCCGCGAGAGACCAGCCCGTATTCTCCGACCACCTCGCTCGCCTCCCGCCTCCAATGAGGGGCAACGGAAAGGGGGGACTTGCATATGGGGGGGAAGCATCGACCTGGAATGGAAGCATCGACCTGGAATCGGCGATACATCGTCGATCGATCGGTGATAGGCTTAGGTCGGGCAATGTCCCCCCACAGGCGGATTCTGGACGAAACATAAGACGTGCTCAAAAGCAAGACTCTGAACCAGTAATAACAAAAAAGCCCAGCACGTGGTCCGCAGACTACTCCTTTGACTATATTTCTGAATACTCCTCCTGTGGAGGAGGAGGAGGAGGGGGAGGAGGGGGAGGAGGAGGAGGAGGAGGAGGAGGAGGAGGAGGAGGAGGAGGAGGAGGAGGAGGAGGAGGAGGAGGAGGAGGAGTGGAGGGACAGGCCCGACTTAACGATAGGCCCTGACAGCACATCCGCGCCTTCCTGAGCAGGTCGGGGGACCTTCGGGCCCCTGTCGGCGATCCATGGGCGACGGCGGGTCGATGCATCGGCCCCCTGTGCCTAAGCCCCCCTGGCGTTGCCCCCTGGGCATGCTCCGACCACACCGCTCGCCTCCCGCCTCCTATCCTTTTTAAGATCCCGCTCTCCCTCTTTGCCCTCCTCCTTTTCCTCCTCCTCCTCCTGTGCTGCTCCGCCCAGCTGCTCCTTCTCCTCCTCCTCATGCTCCTTCTCCTCCTCCTCCTCCTTCTCCTCCTCCTCCCCCTCCTCCTCGTCGTCGTCGTCCTCCTTCTCCTACTCCTTTTCCTCCTCCCTCCTCCCCTCCTCCTCCTCCTCCTCCTCCTCCTCCTCCTCCTCCTCCTCCTCCTCCTCCTAACAACCCCCCCCGCACGTGCGACCAAGCTGTTGCATGTTGTTTCCCCCTCCTCCGACATTGCGTTATTTGTTTCGCGACGTGCCCAACAACAAGGCTTCGACGCCTGCCCTCTTTTCGTCCTGAACCGGTTTCTGACAATCCCACCTCCCGAGAACGGCCTGTGGTTGCCGAAAATGGCAAGACAACTTGCCGTGGTGACTTTTTGTTACATGACTGCGCCGCTGGTTCCCGCAAAGTGGGGGAGGGTGCCCCCCCCCCTCCCCCGCTTTCCTTGGTTGTCCGGGATCTCCGCCCCCCCCTTTCTAAAGGCGGGGCTGCGTCAGCCGCCCCCCCCTTCTCTGCCTTTCGGACAGGAGGCTCTCTCCTCTGTCCGCATGTCGGGCCGCGCCGGTCCGCCCAGCACCCCCCCCCCACCAGGGCCACACTGGCTGGGGAAAGAAAATGTCACTGATGCGCCCCGGTGAGCCTCATGCCCTGACCCCCGGGCGCCCAGCGTCGCCCCCCCCCCCCCCCCCCCCACGTGGCCAGGCCCTCTGCGCACGGGCAGCAAGCTTTGTCAGGCTTGCCGCCTGGTACCCGAGGCCCCGGAGGGGCCCTGAGCCCGCTGGAAGCCTCCGTGCGGGGCGCCGCCAGTCAGGCTGATTAGCGCCGTGCCCATCCCAAGAGATGGGCAGCGGCCTGCGCAGACACCGCACCAGCCCATCAGATGTGTTCCAGGACCGGGGGGAAGAAGGGGCAGAGAGGGAGGCGCCGAGGAGATGAGGCAGAGAAGGCCCAGGCGGGGGGGGAGAGCCGGCAGCGAGTTTACCCGTGTTTCCTCGTGTAAACCCACACCGGTCAGAAAAGGGGCAAGGCGGGCGGGAGGGGGGCGCGAAAGAAGAGAGGGGCGGGCGAGAGGGCAAGCAGGGGCAGGAGGGGCCCTGGACAGCACCCCCACGCGCTAGCTGCTGGGGCCCCAGCAGCGCCGGGGGACACTCGGCTCCGCCAGTGATCCAGCCCGCATTGGGTCACTGCTGGGGCTGCTGCCTCCAGATGCCACCGAGGAGGGCACCAGCAACCCCTGGGCGAATTCCTGGTTGATGGAGGCCCCCGTTGGTGCCCGGAGGCGGCGACTCTCACAGCGACTCAGTCTCCGGGAAAGCTGCCTGCGGGCGACCATCGGCAGTCGCCCGACCACCTGGTTGCTGCGGGGGGGCGCAATATCTATACAGATGGTGACGCCCGAGCCTCACAGCGGCGCTGGAGCAGGGCTGCCGCCGCTGCTGTCTGTGGTGCCACCTCCACCGGCGGCTTGCTCAGGATCAAATCGGCGCTGAGGGGTCTGCTGCCAGGGCCAGGCAGTGCATGAAGAGGTGCGCCGCTGTCGTTGGGGCGCCGCCACACAGGCGGCAGGGAGGCACACCCCCTGCTCGGTGGCACACAAGGGCCCCCTGAAGCGCCAATCGCGCCCATGCCTGCACCTCCTCCGTCGTGCACCCGGCCGCAGCCAGGTGGTGCGCTCCCCATGCCCTTGCACTGGTTGCCCTCGCCCGCACCTGTGGCCTGGCTGCCAACCACGACCTGCTCCCCCTTCTCCCCAGTTCGGGCCGGGAGTTGAACCTCCTGCTTCCTTGTTGAAGACCCAAACTCTGACCCATCAGCCCGAATCCTAACTTTCTAACCCTAAGATCTCAACCAAACATCTAAACCGACTATGATCTCAAGCCCCAGCCGTGAGCAGTGTTCGCCAGCGTGGAGCCCTAACAATGTGTTCTGGCGTACAATGCAGTGCAACATATGCGGTGCAACCTGGGTGGTGCACTCTTTGTGGTACATCATCAATGGTGCAATCTATGTGGTGCAAGATATGTGGTGTAATCTACGCGGTGCAAAATTTGCAGTTCAATAAAAGTGTTGCAATGTCTGTGGTGCAAACCATGCGGTGCAACCTATGCGGTGGAATATCAACATTGCAATCCATGCAGTGCAATCTGTGTGGTGCAGTACAGGCAGAGCTGTCTATGCGACGCAATTTACGTGGTGCAACCTATGCGGAACAATGTATGTGGTGCTACCATTGCAGTGCCATATATGTGGAGCAATATATGTGGTGCAATGTATGTTGTGTAATCTTATGTTGTGCAGTTTATGTGGTGCACTTCATGCGGAGCAGTCTATATGGTGCAGTCTAAGCGGTGGAATCAATGCAGAACAATATGTGCAATGCAATCTGTGTGGTGCAATTGACTACCCTGCACCGCGCTTGACCACCTCCACTGCTCGCGCAAACATCCCACGCACCCACCCGCAACTTGGTTTGCAAAATCTCTTAAGACCGTGACGGTGGGTACCAAATGGCACTTGGAAACGACAGCGACGCCGACGACGACAGCGACAACGACGACGACGCCGCCGACAACGACTACGACGACACCGACGACGTCTCCAACGACTTCGACGACGCCAACAACGACGACGACGACACTGACGACGACGACGACGACGCCGACGCCGACGACGACGAGGACAACGACGACGACGATGACGACGCCGACGACGACGACAACGACGACACCGACGACGACGACGTCAACGACGCCGACGACGACGACGACGGCGACGACGACGACGACGACGACGTCGACGACGACGAAGACGACGACGACGCCGACGCCGACGACGACGACGACGACGACGACGACGACGTCGCCAACGAAGACGACGGCGAGGGAGAGAGGAGGGAGGACGACGACGGCGACAACGACGACAACGACGAGGGAGGAGGGAGGACGGCGACGACGCGAACGACGAAGAAGGAGGAAGGACGGCGACGCCGACGACGACAACGACGAGGGAGGAGGGAAGACGACGACGACGACGACGACGACGACGACATCGGCGACGAAATCAGAGGGACGACGACGAGGCGCCGACGACGGACGACGGCGACGACGAGGGAGAAGGAAGGACGACAACGGCGACAACGACGACGGAAACGACCACGACGCCAAAGAGGACGACGACGACGAAGACGAGGAAAGACAGAGGACGACGTAGGCGACGACGACGACGACGCGGGAGGAGGGAGGACGGCGACGACGACGACGACGCAAGAGCGCGCGCGCGCGCACGCTTGTGTTGAAAATCCGTGTTGCGAAACCTTGTGTTTTTGTAGGTTTTTTGGACACACGATGTTGAAATCCTTCCGAAACCGATGGGTTTTGAAGGATTGCGGCATACGCGCGCGACGACGCGCGCGTCTGCACTTCGTCCCATTTGTTGCAGAGGATTCTCGCGACGGCACACGCGCAAGGGCGTTCGACAGATTTCGACATGCGCGCGCGCGAAGCCCGTTTGGTAGCATTTTGTGAAAATCTTGAAAAACCGATGGTTTTCGTAAGATTTCGCAAGAGCTCCCGCGTAAGTTTTTTTAGCAAATCCGTGTTGCGAAACCTTGTGTTTTTCATGTTTTTGGGAAACTCGATTGCGAAATCCTTCCGGCACCGAAGGTGTTTGGAGGATTTCGGCATGCGCGCGCGACGGCGCGCGCGTGCGCACTTCGTCCCACTTTTTGCAAAAAGGAATTAGTGAAAAAAGGGTTCTGTTAGAACAGAAAGTGTCCCGGCGTATCGTTGTTTTACAAAGGGAACCTCAGGGGGGTCGATACCGCCCCCCCTGGGATAGTGTAGACTCATATTTAGGATGGACATGTGGTCAGAATCGTATATGATTTACATACCCGAAAAGGGGGGCCGATTACGCCGGGGGGGGGGTCGACTCTATGCTTTTTCTGGAAAGGAGAATTCACTTGCCGAACCTGAAGTTGTCAACTCCACTGCTTGCGCAATCATCCCACCCAACCACCCGCAACTTGGTTTGCAAAACCCATGCGGGAACGATTGCGATGAGTGCTGGGTGTTGGCTGGTACATGTTTGCGGCCGCGCGAGCCCGCGCATGCTCGCGCGCGCAGCGGCCAGCTAGTTTGGCGCGACCGACGCGAACGCGGTGGCGCTGACCGCTCGGCGCATCCCACCGGGCATTTCAGTGCGAGTCGGCGACTTGGGCGGGCGCGGTATCATGGCAACGCCGACAACGGTGGACACAATGATGATAGTAGCGATGCTGGTGACGATGCTGACAGCGACGACGGGGCAGCCAGTGACGGCGCCGATGCTGATCACGCCGACGACAATGACGGCGTCTTCACGTCAGGGATGAAAGTTTTGGAAGGAATTCGACATGCGCGCGCGGCAGGCGCGCGAGAGTGGCTCGCATGGTAATATTTGACACGGATCGTGCCACCCCAGCAAGCGCGCAAAGGCGTTCGAACAATCCCACCAGCCCTCTGGGCGTCGGTGGTTTAGAGCGTTTCCTCTTCCACCCCTCCTTCTTCCTCTTCGGGGAGGGGTTTACCCCTCCCCCTACCCCCTCCCCACTGACCTGGACAGGGGGGGCCGCGACGCGTTAGAGCGTCCAAGATGAGCCAACACGGCTCCAAGGGGGCCTCAGGGAGCTCAAGATGACCTCCAAGATGGCTCAAGATAGCGCAAGGTGCCTCAAGATGGTTCCGAAGATGTTCCAAGACGCTCCAAGACCGCCCCAAGACGGCTCGAAGTGTCCACTAGAGCTCCCCTCGGATGCCCCCAAGAAGCCAACATGTTTCAAAACCCTAGGGAAAATCAATGTTTTTGGCGTTCTCGCGCTTTCGCTTCCGATGCCCACCCGAGGCGTCAAGATAGCGCTAAGATGGCTCAATATAGCTCCAAGAAGGGCCCAAGAACGCCCGAAGACGGCGCAAAGAGCGCCCAAGAGCGCTCCAAGAGCCCTCCAAGAGCGGTTCAGGAGGCGATTTCAGAGGCTTTCCAGGAACGACGCTAATTAGTGCTTCCGCTTTCTTTGCCAGATCCCCTCCAGGATGCCCCAAGAGGCCGCAGGATGGCCCCAAGATGGCCCCAACAGGCCCCCCAAGAGGCCCCCAGGAGGCCCCCAAGAGACCCCCAAGAGGCCCCAAGAGACCCCCCAGAGGCCCCAAGAGGCCCCAAGATGGCCCCAAGAGGCCCCAAGAGGCCCCCAGGAGGCCCCAAAGAGGATCCCGAACGGCCCACAGAGGCCCCCCCGAGGCACCCAAGACGCCGAAAAGCCCCTCAGGACGACCCTCTACTCGCCTGGGCGTCGTTTCTGGACGGGCTGGTGGGGATGCGCGAAGCGTCTAGACTTTCGACATGCGCATTCGCGCGAAGGCCGTTTGGTAGCATTTTATAAACATTTGAAAAACGTATGGCTTTATTACGGATTCGCAAGAGAGCGCACGCTTTGTTGGAACATCAGTGTTGCGACACTTTTTATATATTAACAATTAAAACAGTTGTTGGACACTTGATTTGAAGTTCTTCGGACACCGAATGTTTTCGAAGAATTTCGGCATTCGCGCGACGACGCGCGCGTGTGCACTTAGTCCCGTTGTTTGCAAGGAATTCTTGGTAACTTATGAGTGTTGATAAACGAGTGTGCGCGCATACTATTTTTTGCAAAGGATGGCGGAGGCGGGGGGGCGATACGGGCCTGGCTGGGATAGTATGAGTTCACAGGTAGGAAGGACGATGGGGCAGAATCTGATGTAACTTGCAATACGAAAAGGTGGGTCGATGAGTCCGGAGGGGAGGGTGGTAGAACCTATTTTTTAGAAAGGAGAATATATGCAGAACAATTTATGCGGTACAATCAAAGTGGTTCAACTTATCCCGTGCAATCTATGTGGTGCAAACTTTGCGGCAGCGGCGACGGGCGGCGATCACGACAATAAAAGCGGCGACCGCCAGCCAGGCCCAGAAGCAACGCCGTAGGACGGCGACGACAGCAACAATAAACGCGCCAGACCGCCGGCCAGGTCCAGACGACGGACTGCGACAAGGCGGCGACGGGGCGGCGACGGCGACAACATAGCCGCCAGACCGCCAGTCAGGCCCAGTTTCATTAGACCAAAAAGTAATAACCATTAAGCGCAAGTACTATTTGGGGAATCACCATAACCCTCATGCCCAAACCCCGAAATCCTGATTCGCTACTATCTACAACCCAAACTCGAGCCCCAGCACTACGACTTCAGCCTATCACTATAAACACTGACCCTGCCCTGACGCCCACCCACCCTGAAAATGAAACCTGACCGTAGACACTGACACCCTGACCTTACCACCCTGACCCTGATCCAAAACACTACTCCCAACCCTAAACCCTAACTTCTGAGCCCTATCCCTAACCCATTTGCCCAAATCCCGAACCCTGGCACACGCACTATCACATTTCCCCAGATCATGAATCCTAACTGGAGACGCTAAAACCCTAACCATAACACCCACGCCCTAAACAGCGTCGGCAAACCCGAGTACGGGCGTATGCGAGTCTTACGTTTTCCCGATGGGTTCGGCTACACGATGGAGGAGGTAGCGAGAGTGATATGCTGCGGGCTCTGAGCGGTTGGAAGAGGAAGAGAAGGTGGAGGAGGGGGAGGAGGATCGAGGATCCACGAGGATCGAGCATTTTGAAGGAGGATCGGGGATCAAGAAGGCTTTAGAAGGGGGTCGGAGAATCATCGGGGCGGCGAAGCGAGGAGGAGCGAGGAGGGCATGAGAGGCATCTGGCTGGCGACCGGGATGGTGTACCAGGGGGGCCGGCTCTCCTCTTGCTGCTCCTCCTGCTGCTGCTTATCCAACTGCTGCTGCTCCTCCTTCCGTCCATCCTGCTGCTGCGTCTTCTCATCCTGCCTCTTCCCACGCTGCTGCTGCCGCTGCTCCTCCTCGCTCGGATGCAGATCTTCTTGGACCCTGGAGAACACAGCACGCAGCCCTGAAATTCAATGGCATTAGGCTGCATCTCCTCCTCCTCCTCCTCGTCCACCCTCTTATGACCGATCTGGCCTGCAATGCACTGACGCCTTCGCGGGAAAAGCATGCTTCGCGGGAAAAGCATGCTTCGCTCGTGGGACCCAGTGCAGGCACAGCGGAGACAAACCATGATAACAGGTCGTGGCCGATCAGCACACGTGGTGGAACGAACTGGATGGGCGACGTCGGATACAGGGGTATCGGCCCCGGAGCTCCTGCCAGAAAATCCGGCGGCACCGTTTGCACGTCACGCTAAAACGGTGATCCAAGCGACGTTCAGCGAGCATGAGGCGAAAAAGACGCTCACGGCGCGAGTCCTCGCCCTCCTGCAGCAGCTTCTTGGCGAGCGCGACGCAGGAATGGCCGCTCGGCAGCTTGACGTTGCGGAGGAAGAGGGGCCAATCCCCCTGGGAGTTCAAGTTTTTCAATGTCAGCCTGCGTGCCGGCTCCCGCGGGAGCGGACCCCTGAAGGGCAGGCGGTTCTCGCGCCAACAAACTGCACTGCCACGTGCCAATCCGCCAGGTAGCTGCCGCAGGCCGGCGGAGTCATAATGCAATCATGCGCATTATGATGCAAGGGTCGTGTCTGAGACATGGCATTTCCAAGCCGAGCATCGCGCTTTCCAAGTGTGATGGCCAGACTACGGACTCGCGATGGCAGCAGCCATGAGTTTTGCACGCTTCTGGCGGCACTCGACTGCACCTCCTCCTCCCCCATTCCCTCCTCCTCCTCCTCCTCCTCCTCCTCTTTCCCCTCCTCCTCCTCCTCCTCCTCCTCCTCCTCCTCCTCCTCCTCTTTCTCCTCCTACTACTTCTCCTCCTAATACTTCTCCTCCTTCCCTCCCTTCCTATCCTCCTCGTTCATCCTCCTTCTTCTCCCGCCTTACCCCCCTGCTCTTCCCCCTCCCCCTTCCCGCCTCCTAGAGAAGAGGTGGTAGAGAAGTAGGCATCCTCCTCTTCCTCCTCCATCATACGAGTAGGAGCAATATCGCCAATGCGCTCAGGCATCCTGCAGGCCTTGGCTAACTCTTCGAGTTTTTGGTGAGCTCTTGGAGTTTAGCAGGGACAGCAGCAGCAATCCCCGAACGCTCCCCTGTCTGATCGCCTTGGGGCTGTAGTCGTTGGTATTGTTTTAAGGAGGCCAAGAGGGCAGAACACAATCACACGACACACGTTCCACTCACCAGCGCGTAGGGTGAAATAGTCGACGTAGAATCGCTGGTGATTGTTGGAAGCTGGCGCGGCTGACCTTTGCAGCGAAACTGGCTGCGCTGTCCGACGCCACTAGCTGTGCACGGGTGCACGAGCTGAGCGCGGAGCCGTCGGCGGGCATGGCGGAGGAAGAGGAGGCGGAGAAGAGGAGGAAGAGTAGGAAGAGGAGAAGGAGAAAAATGATGATGATGATGATGATGATGATGATGATGATGATGATGATGATGATGATGATGATGATGATGATGAGGAGGAGGAGGAGGAGGAGGAGGAGGAGGAGGCGCAGGAGAAGGATGATGAGGAGGAGGAGCAGGAGAAGTGAGGAGGAGGAGGCGGAGGGGGAGGAGGAGGGGGAGGAGAAGGAAGATGATGATAAGGAGAAAAAAGAGGAGGACGAGGAGGAGGAGAAGGAGGAGGAGGAAGTAGATAATGAGGCGGAGGAGGAGGAGGCGGAGGAGGAGGAGGAGGATGAGGATGAGGATGATGATGCTGCTGCTGCGGATGATGATGATGCTGATGATGATAAGGAGAAGGCGGCGGATCAGGTGGAGGATGAGGAAGATGATGAGGAAGATGAGGGAGAGGATGAGGAGAATGAGGAGGCGGAGGAGGATTGAGGAGGAGTGAGGCGGATGAGGAGGAAGAGGAGGAGGAGGGGGCGGAGGAGGAGGAGGGGGGAGGATGACGAAAGGGATGCGGAGGAGGAGGATGAGGTGGATGAGGATGAGAATGAGGATGATGCTTATGCTGCTGATGATGATGAGGAAGAGGAGGAGTCGGAGGAGGATGAAGACGATGCGGAAGAGGAGGAGAGGGATGAGGATGATGCTGATGATGCTGATGAGGAGGATGAGGAGGAGTTGTATTGATCATGGGTAGGAGGCGTGAGGAGGAGGAGGAGAAGGAGGCGGATCAGGTTGAAGAAGAGTATGATGAGGAGGAGGATGAGGACGATGATGATTGGGATGATGAGGAGGAAGATGAGGAGGAGGATGAGACGGAAGAGGAGGAAGATGAGGAGGATGAGGATGAGATGGGGAGGAGGAGGAGGAGGAGGAGAAGGATGAGGAGGTAGAGGATGAGGAGGAGGAGGAAGAGGAGGAGGAGTAAGAGAAGGAGGAACACGAGGATGATGATGCTGATGATGATGAGGAGGAGGAGAAGGAGGAGGAGGAGAAGGAGGAGGATGAGGAGGGAGGAAGAGGAAGGGGACGGGGAAGGGGATGGGGGAGGGGGAGGGGAGGGGGGGGGATGAGGAGGAGGAAGAGGAGGAGAGGAGGAGGAGGAGGAGGAGTAGGAGGAGGAAGATGAGGAGGAGGCGGACGATGAGGAGGATGCACAGGCGGAGGAGGAGGAGGAGGATGAGGATGATGATGATGATGATGAGGAGGAGGATGAGGAGGAGGCGGTGGAGGATGAAGAGGAGGAGGAGGAGGAGAAGGATACGGATAAGGAGGATGATGATGAGGAGGACAACGATGAGGAGGAACATGATGATGAGGAGGATGATGAGGAGGATGAGGGGGCGGATGAGGGGGAGGAGGATGAACATGCAGAGGAGGGGGAGGAGGAGGACGGGGACACGGCGCAGGATGATTGGGAAGATGAGGAGGAAGATGAGGAGGATGAGGAGGAGGAGGAGAAAGAAAACGACGAAGAGGAGGAACAGGAAGAGGAGGAGGACGATGAAGATGCTGAGTAGGAGGATGAGGAAGATTAGGAGGAGGATGACGAGTGAGGAGGAGTAGGCGTAGTGATGGGGGAGCGAGGAGGAGGAAACAGAGCAGGAGGAGTAGGAATGAGGAGGAGGAGGAGGAATAGTAGGATTGAGGATGAATGCGAGGAGTGAAGAGGAGGAGGAGGAGGCGGATCAGGAGGAGGATACGTACGACGATGATGATGATGATGATGATGATGATGATGATGATGATGATGATGATGATGAGGAGGAGGAGGGGGAGGAGGAGGAGGAGGAGGAGGACGGCGAGGAGGAAGCGGAGGAGGATGAGATGAGGAGGATGAGGAGGAGGAGGACGAGGATAATGCTGAGGAGGAGGAGAAGGAAGAGGAGGAGGATGTGGAGGGGGAGGAGGAGGAGAATTAACCAGAGGATGAGGATGAGGATGAGGAGGAGGAGAAGAAGGAGGATTATAATGAGGAGGAGGAAGAGGAGGAGGAGGAGGAAGAAGACGATGATGAGGAGGAGAAGGATGAGGATGAGGAGGAGGAGGACGAGGACGGGGAGGATGCGTAGGATGATGAGGAGAATGATGAAGAGGAGGATTATGAGGAGGAGGAGGAGGAGGAGGAGGAGGAGGCGGAGGAGGACGAGGAGGAGGATGAAGAGGCGGAGGATGCGGAATCTTAGGAGGAGGAAGAGGAGGAGGAAGAGTGAGGAGGAGTAGGCGTAGCGAGGGGGATGAGGATGAGGAGGAGGACGAGGAGGAGGAGGAGGAGGAGGAGGAGGATGGGGAGGGGGATCAGAAGCAGGAGGAGGAGGAGGAGGAGGAGTGACGAGGAACATGAGGAGTGAGGAGGGGGAGGAGGGGGCGGATGAGGAGAAGGAGGAGGCGGGGAGGAGGGGGAGGAGGAGGAGGAGAAGGATTTGGAGTGAGAAGGAGGCGGACGGGGAGGAGGAGGGGGATGCTGATGATGATGATGATGATGGCGATGATGATGATGAGGAGGAGGAGGAGGAGGAGGAGGAGGATCGGCCCACCGAGGGGGCGCGGTCGTGGCCAGAGACACGCCGCGGCCCTTGTGACCGAGCCTCTTACATCAGGCGTGCACGCTTGGCTTTGCATGCTTTAAGGGGCTTAATGGGGTCCCCAGAGGGCCAAATCTTGGCCGAAACATTCGGTGGCTGGCAATTCGCCAATCTGCGCAACGCTTCCCGTCCACTGTCAGTGCCCACACCACCTGGACAAGAGACGGGGAGTTGGTTGAGCTTACCACCTCCAGTGCTCGTGCAGCTGCCGAGCCCCGCGCACTTCGTACACCAAAGCTGACCATTCATTATTTGCATCGAATGGGTCGGGTGTATGGTCCTACCTCCAACTGTAAGTGAGGGGTACGCAGAGGGCGGAATTGGCAGGGGCACGTTATAACAAGAAACAAACGCTCTACCTGTGCACGGGTGGGCCTGCATCCAGCTCTCGACGGCCTCTCGCGTGGGGCCAAGCTTACAATGGAAACAGAACCAGCGCTTCTTGTCCTTCGGGTGCTGCTGCATACAATGGCCCGTGGCACGCTCAAGCTCCTGCTGAAGCGCGACTATCTTCACAGGCCTGCGGCGGGTACGCGCAACCAAAGGACGCTGGTGCTTGACCTTGGGAAGCGAGTTTACAGCCGTAGCAACAGCAGCTAGACGCTTGTGGACCCGTTGCAGGAGAGCTTCATCGTCCTTCAAAGAATCTAATTGAGGCTGGATCAAATTCAGGGCTTTCTCGAGGCCACGTTGGGCCAGAGCGTCAGCTCGTTCATTACTTAGTGTTACAAACCAGGGCTGGGAAGCTACACTCAGGCTCACGGCATCGAGATGAGAATTGCACTTCTTCGCGCTGACCTTGGAGATCCTGTCGGGCCTCTGGAGGATAGCCTGCTTGATCCGCTGCCACCACTGCTTATGGGGACCTTGAGGGTATAGCCACAACCGAGAGTTCCAACCACGGTAAACTAGCGCATTGTCGGTCCAGATCTCGAGGGCCCCCTGGGTGTAGAGGAGACAGTAGTGCAGGCCAGCCAATTCTGCACAGGGAACCGTCTGACGGCCGTCAATGGTGCCGTAAAGCCCAGGAAAACGATCCTCAGCAGGAGACTCGTCGAAATCGAAAGCGACCCCCCAGCCGCCACGAGCAATACGAGCATCTGCTGAATTGACGGAGCCGTCGAGGTAGGCCCTGCAGGCCTGAATCGGGTTACCGCTGATGCAGGAGTAGCCTTCGAACTGGGGCACCTGGACTGGCATATCGACGTCGTAGACGACCTGGGCCTCATTCCATTCTGGGGCCTCTGGAACCTTGTTGAGCCTGGCTGGCAAAATACCACGGCACCAGAACATCTTCATATCAGGCTCAGCACTCATAGACTGAGCAGCTCGGTTCTTGAGGTCCTGGGTACGGCGGATCCAGTCATGGTCGATGTCATCGTTTTTCTCGCACAGGTAGCAACGGCGCAGCAAGTCCCCAGCTGCCTT